AGTGCTGGGATTCCAGGCATGAGCGATCGCGCTTGGCCTAAGCACTATTAATGTATTCTTTTCCACATAGTTTTCAAAAGTCCATGTATTAAAAGCAAAAACTTTTTTGTTGTTAAAATATGGTATTCTGCTGTGTATCCTTATGCGACCTACTTTTTTCTCCCATTCACTAATGTTTTAGAACTTTCTTCCCTTAACATTAAATGCTTTCAAAAACACAATTCCATACCATTCCATTAGATTACTGTTAACTAAACTATAAACTATTATGGATGATTCGTTTTTTCTTAATTGTGGTAAAATCCACATAATAAATCATTTTACAGCATGCAGTTTAGTGGGACTTAATACATTTGTGGTGTTGTGCAACCATTATCTGTTTGATTCCAATGTATTTTATCACCCCAAAAGGAAACCCCATACCCATTAAGCAGTCACTCCCCATTCCTCCCTTCCTGCAGCCCCTGACAACCACTAATATTATTTCTGTCTCTCTGGGTAGATACTTCTTTTTGCTGGGATAGGGCAAGATATATAAACAGTCAGCAAATAATAAAACGCATTAGGCCGGGCGTGGTGGCTCACACCTGTAATCCCAGCACTTTGGGAGGCTGAGGTGGGTAGATCACTTGAGTTCAGGAGTTTGAGACCAGCCTGGCCAACTTGGTGAAACTCCATCTCTATCAAAAAAATACAAAAATTAGCTGGGCGTGCTGGCACATGTCTGTAATTCCTGCTACTTGGAAGTCTGAGGCACGAGAATGGCTTGAACCCAGAAAGTGGAGGTTGCGGTGAACTGAGATTGTGCCACTGCCCTCCAGCCTGGGCAACACAGTTAGTCCCTCTCTTATAAAAAGGCAGGTGGGGCAAGATGGGGGACTGAGAAACACTGGTGAAGTTCATAGTCCAGGAGTATAGGTTCACCAAAAGACTGAAACGTAGGCTGGGCGCGGTGGCTCAAGCCTGTAATCCCAGCACTGTGGGAGGCCGAGGCGGGTGGATCACGAGGTCAAGAGATCAAGACCATCCTGGTCAACATGGTGAAACCCCATCTCTACTAAAACTACAAAAAATTAGCTGGGCATGGTGGCGTGTGCCTGTGATCCCAGCGACTCAGGAGGCTGGGGCAGGAGAATTGCCTGAACCCGGGAGGCGGAGGTTGCGGTGAGCCGAGATCGCGCCATTGCACTCCAGCCTGGGTAACAAGAGCGAAACTCCGTCTCAAAAAAAAAAAAAAAAAAAAAAAAAGACTGAAACGTAATCACACCTTACCATTATGTTACTACTGGTGTCTTTACTACAGTTTCTTTTAGCCAGTACATCATGTCTGCCTTTCAACAGGGCATACTAAAAAGCAAGAAGCACAGCTTGGAGAAATTAAATACCATCAGAATCAGTTTTGGCAGGCACATTGGAATTATTAGGCCAGGATTTTTTTTAAAAAAAACTATAAATAGTATGCTAAGTTAAAAAGTAGACAACATGCAAGAACAGATGGATAATGTAAGCAGGGAAATGGAAATTCTAAGAAAGAATCAAAATGCTATAGATAAATATTAACAGAAATGAATGACTTTGATGAGCTTGTTAGTAGACTGGACACAGCTGAGGAAAGAATCTCTGAGCTTGTGGATATATCCATAGAAATTCCAAAACTGAGAAAGAGAGAAAAGGCTGAATAGAAACAGAACAAGCCAGGGACAGTGGTGAGTGCCTGTAGTCCCAGTTACTTGGGAGGCTGAGGCAGGAACATCCCTTGAGCCTAGGAGTTCAAGTCCAGCCTGTGCAACATAGTGAGACTTCATTGCCTAAAAAAACAAACCCAGAATATAGTAGCCTCCCCATCACCCCTATCTGCAGTTTCACTTTCCATGGTTTCAGTTACCCATAGTTAACTACAGTCCAAAGATATCAGATGGAAAATTCCAGAAATAAACAGTTCTTAAGTTTTAAATTGCATTCCATTCTGAGGGGCGTTCCATCTTGCCTAGGATATGAATCATCCCTTTGTCTAGCATATCCATGGGTATGCGGTATTCACTTTTTAGTCACTTGGTAGCTATAGATTGATTGTTGGGATATTGCAGGGCTTGTGTCAAAGTAACCCCTATTTTACTTAATCATGGCCCCAGAATGCAAGAGTAGTGATACTAGCATATTGTTGAAATTGTTCTATTAGTTTTTGTTGACCTGTTACTGTGCCTAATTTATAAGTCAAAATTTATCCTAGATGTGTATGTATATGGAAAACATAGTATATATAGGATTCAGTACTTTCCACACTTTCAGCATCCACTGGGAGTCTTGGAACTTTTTTCCCATGAGTAAAGGGAGGGCTGCTATATCCATGAACTGTGGAACAGCTACAAAAGGTGTAACATATATGCATGATGGGAATCACAGAAGGAGAGTAGAGAAAGGAACAGAAACAATATTTGAGGCAATATGGCTGCAGATTTCTCCAAATTAATGTCAGACATCAAATCACAGATTCAGGAAGCTCAGAGAACACTAAGCAAGATAATGCCCAGAAAACAACACCTAGCATATCATATTCAAACTGCAGACAATCAAAGATAAGAAAAATCTTGAAAGAAGCCAAAGGGAAAAAATACCTGACCTATAGAGAAGCAACAGTAAGAATTACACATGACTTCTTCTCAGAAATCATGCAATCAAGAAGAGAGTGGAGTGAATTTTTTTTTTTTGAGATGGAGTTTTGCTCTTGTTACCCAGGCTGGAGTGCAATGGCGCGATCTCGGCTCACCACAACCTCCGCCTCCTGGGTTCAGGCAATTCTCCTGCCTCAGCCTCCTGAGTAGCTGGGCTTACAGGCACACGCCACCATGCCCAGCTGAATTTTTGTATTTTTAGTAGAGACGGGGTTTCACCATGTTGACCAGGATGGTCTCGATCTCTTGACCTCGTGATCCACCTGCCTCGGCCTCCCAAAGTGCTGGGATTACAGGTGTGAGCCACCACGCCCGGCCTGGAGTGAATATTTTAAATGTTGATAAGCATGGTGGCTCACACCTATAATCTCAGCACTTTGGGAGGCCAAGGCAGAAGGATCACTTGAGCTCAGGAGTTCAAGACCAGCCTGGCCAACATAGGATAATTAAGGAATAGTATGAGCAACCCTATGCTCACAAACTTGATAACCTAGGTATAATGGAACAATTCCTTGAAATATAGTTTGCCAAAGCTTAAGAAAACATAGACAACTTGAATAGGCCTTTGTCTGTTAAAAAAAATTGGATCAATAATTAATAAACTTCTAAAACAGAAAGCACCAGGTCCAAATGAGTTTTCTGGTGAATTCTACCAAACATTTAATGAAGAATTACACTAATTCTCTTTTTATATTTTTTTTTAAATAGAATTTCGCTCTTTCCCCCAGGCTGGTGTGTAGTGATCTCAGGTCACTGCAACCTCTGTCTCCCAGGCACAAGTGATCTTCTCACTTTAGCCTCCCAAGTAACTGGGGACTACAGGCATGTGTCACCACACCTGGCTAGTTTTCTTTTGGTAGAGATGGCATTCTGCCATGTTGTCCAGGCTGGTATTGAACTCCTGGGTCAAGCAGTCTTCCTGTCTTGGCCTCTCAAAGTGCTGGGATTACAGATGTGAGCCACCACACCTAGCCTATACTAATTCTCCACAATTTCCTTCAGAAGATAGAAACAAATGGAATACTTCCTAACTCCTTCTGTGAGGCCACCGTTACCCTAATACCCAAGCCTGATAAAGATTACAGGAAAACTACAAAACAATTTCTCATGAACTTAGATGCACACATCCTCAACAAAATATTAGCAGATTGAATTTCAAAAATGTGTAAAAAGGTCAGGCGCTGTGGCTCATACCTGTAATCTCAACACTTTGGGAGGCTGAGGCTGGCGGATCACCTGAGGTCAGGAGTTCGAGACCAGCCTGGCCAACATAGTGAAACCCCATCTCTACTAAAAATAAAAAATTAGCTGGGCACGGTGGTGTGCGCCTGTAGTCCCAGCTACTTGGGAGGCTGAGGCAGGAGAATCATCTGAACCTTGCAGGTGGAGGTTGTGTTGAGTCAAGATCGCACCACTACACTCTAGCCTGAGCAACAGAGCAAGGCTCTATCTCAAAAAAAAAAAAAGAGTAAAAAGAAGTATATGCAGGCCTGGGTGCCATGGCTCACGCCTGTAATCTCAGCACTTCAGGAGGCCAAGGCGGGTGGATCACTTGAGGTCAGGAGTTCAAGTCCAGCCTGGATGACATGGCAAAACCTCGTCTTTACTGGAAATACAAAAATTAACTGGATATGATGCTGTACTCCTGTAATCCCAGCTACTCAGAAGGCTAAGACAGGAGAATAGCTTGAACCTGGGAGGCAGAGGTTGCAGTGAGCTTAGATTGCTCCACTGCTCTCCAGCCTGGGCAACAGAGTGAGACTCTGTCTCAAAAAAAAAAAAAAAAAAGTATATGCCATGACCATGTGGGATTATTTTGAATATTAAAAAATCAGTTAACTCTTCACATCAAGAGGCTAAAGAAAAAATTCATATGATCATACCAATAGATGTAGAAATAGCATTTGATAAAATCCAGCACCCATTTATTATAAAAATCTCTCAGCAAACTATGAATAGAGGGGAACCTCTCCTCAACTTGATAAAGAATATCTACAGAAAATCTACAGCTAACATCATACTTAATGGTGAGAAACTAGATTCTTTCTCCTGAAGATTAGGAACAAGGCATGGGTGTTGTCTCTTTTTTCAACATTGACCTTGGCTGCGCACAGTGACTCATGCCTGTAATCCCAGCTCTTTGGGAAACTGAAGTGGGCAGATCACCTGAGGTCAGGAGTTCGAGATTAGCCTGGCCAACATTGTGAAACTTCATTTCTAATAAAAATACAAAAAAATTAGCCAGACGTGGTGGCAGGTGCCTGTAATCCCAGCTACTTGGGAGGCTGAGGCAGGAGCTTGAACCCGGAAGATCCTGTGAGCCAAGACCATGCCATTGCACTCTAGCCTGGGCAACAACACGAGCCTGTCTCAAAAAAACAAAAAAACGAAAAAACCCATTGACCTAACTAATGCAGTAAGATAAGAAACGGAAATAAAAGGTATAAAGATTGGGATGAAAGAAACAAAACTGTCTTTGTTAACAGATGACCTGGTCATCTATGTAGAAAATCTAAATGAATCAGCAAAAAAATCTCCTAAACTGATAATATGAATATAAGAAAGCTGTAGGATACAAGGTTAATATACAAACATTAGCCATATTCCTGTATACCAGTAACAAACAACCGGAGTTTGAAATTAAAAACACATTTTCATTATGTTAACATTCCAGTGAAACACGTAGGTATAAATGTAACAAAAACGTAAAAAAAATCTATATGAGGAAAATTGCAAAATTCTAATGAAATAAGTGAAAGAACAACTATACAACATAATCTGAATCAGAATCTCTGCCCATTATTTTGTGGGTATTGACAAACTGCTTCTGAAGTTTACATGGAAAGGTAGAAAACCCAGAAATAGCTAATACAATAATGAAGGAAAAGAAAAAAGTCAGATGGCTGATGTTATTTGACCAAGGCTTATTAGAAAGTTGCAGTAATCAAAACGGTATAGTCAAACAGAATAGCCTAGAAGCAGACTCACAGAAACATAGTCAACTTAAAACAGCAACTCAAAGTACTATAAATAAAAAACAAAAATTAGCCAACTGATCTTTGATAAAGGAGTACAGGAAATATGCTGGAGAAATGATAATCTTTTCAACAGTTGGTGCTGGAACAACTGGACATCCACATGCAAAAAAAATCCATCTGGACATAGACATTACACCCTTCACAGATTTCTGCCCTGTGAAAGACACTGTTAAGAGAATGACAAGATGAGCCAAATACTGGGAGAATTTTTTTTTTAATGTGATGGAGTCTCGCTCTGTCGCCCAGGCTGGAGGGCAGTAGTGTGGTCTCGGCTCACTGCACCTTCCATCTCCCGGGTTCAGGCAATTCTCCTGCCTCAGCCTCCCAAGTAGCTGGGACTACAGGCATACCTTGCCACATCCAGGTTATTTTTTGTATTTTAGTAGAGGTGGGGTTTCACTGTGTTGCCCAGACTGGTCGAGAACTTCTGAGCTCAGGCAGTCTGCCCACCTCGGCCTCCCAAAGTGCTGGGATTATAGGCATGAGCCACTGCACTTGGTCTGAGAAAATATTTTTAAAGGACCCACCTGATAAAGGATTACTATTCAAAATAAAAGCACTAAAACTTAAGAAAACAACCCAGTTAAAAAGTGGGCCAAAGACCTGAACAGACGTCTCACTAAAGAAGATGCACAGATGGCATGGCAAATAAAAACATATGAGAAGATATTCACCATCATATGTGTTTAGGACATTACAAGTTAAAACAACTATGAGATACCACTACATACCTATTAAGATGGCCATAATCCCAAACACCAGCAACACCAAATGCTGGCAGGAATGTGGGGCAACAGGAACTCTCATTCACTCACTGCTGGTGGCAACAGGAACTCTCATTGACTCACTACATACCTATTAGGATGGCCATAATCCCAAACACCAGCAACACCAAATGCTGTCAGGAATGTGGAGCAACAGGAACTCTCATTCACTCACTGCTGGTGGGAATGCAAAAGTGTACAACCACATTCTCTTACCCTACCATCAGCAATTGCGTTCCTTTTTATTTACCCAAATATGTTGAAAACTTATATTCACACAAAAGCCTCCATACAAATGTTTATAGCAGCTTTATGTATAATTACCAAAACCTGAATGCAATGAAGACCTTCAGTTGATGAGTGGACAAATAAACTGTGGTACACCTTGACAATGGAATAGTACTCAGTACTAAAAAGAAATGATCCACTAAGGCACATGGAAGAATCTTAAATGCATATTACCGAGTGAAAGAAGCTGATCTGAAAAGCCTACATACTGTAGGATTCCAACTCTGTGACATTTTGGAAAAGAAAACTGTGGAGACAGCAAAAGGATTAGTGATTGTCGGAATTGGGGAGAGATGAATAGGCAGGATACAGATTTTTAGGGCAGTGAAAGTATTCTGAATAATACTATTAATATCATGGGAGATACATGTCATTATACGTTTGTCCAAACCCATGGAATGTACAACACAGAGTGAACCCTAACGTAAACAATTGACTTTTGATGATAATGGTATATCAGTGTTTGTTCATCGATTGTAACAAATAATAACACCGTGGTGCATTATGTTGATAGGGAGGTTGTGCATATGTGGGGGAGGATAATATATAGGAAATATCTGTACCTTCCTTTTGATTTTGCTGTGAACCTAAAACTGCTATAAAAAAAAATAAAATATGGCCAGGCACAGTGGCTCATGCTTGTAACTCCAGCACTCTGGGAGGCTGAGGCAGGAGAATCACTTGAGTTTGAGACCAGCCTGAGCAATATATTGGAAGGCCCCCATCTCTACAAAAAATTTAAATAGTAGCTGATCATGGTGACATGCACCTTGATCATGTCCTAGCTACTTTGTGGGCAAAGGTGGGAGATTGCTTGAGCTCAGGAGATCAAGACTATAGTGAGCTGTGATAGCACCACTGCACTCCAGCCTGGGCAACAAAGAGAGATCTGTCTTAGAAAAAGAAAAAAAAAAAGAATCTTTTAAAAAATGCTTCTCAATAACAAAAAATAATGAACAGTAAAAAATAATGACCTTTGAAAAAGTAGGATAGGCTGGAAGGACTTTCCCAAATATGGGAAACGTTACCAGATTTAGCCTTTTAACTAAATTAGATTCATGTTTGGTGATAGGGAGAAGGTACTTCATTTCTAAACTGAAAGAAGGTGAGCAAAAGCATAAACTCTGGTTAAGCATGACTAGTGCACTTTGGGGATTCTGTGGGAAAGAATGGGAGATTAGAAATCATAATATTCTTTGATGAAGATTAGCACCCACTGGCTATCTGTAAGAGAGTTGAGTAGCTGACTGTCATGGATCAAGGTGTACAACTTCAGCATGTCTGACCAAGAGGACATCTGTATACTCTGCACATCAGATGTGGGTGGGTGGTGAGGTTGACTGCCTTTTATAGGATTGAGATGTCCAGATGGCCATGAGGGAGTTCTAATTACCACTGTGAGAGATGTTGATAGACCTGTTCAGTCTGGTGCTGAATTAATGCCCCCAAAGCTCTGTGCTCACATTTGAACCAGAAAAATACTTTGGCCTGTGAAGGGCCTGTAGTGGAGATGAGATGGAAGGGATGCTTGGTAAAGCTGGATAAGACCAAGGAAATGAAAAAATAGTGGGAAGAAATAGGAAAAAGGAGTGGGGGGGAGTAGGGAGAAGGGAGAAAGAAGAAACATTTAGGAAGTTCTGCTTTGTTGCTATATTCAACTCTGACTTCTATCAGTTAATTTGATGACTGAAGAGCTAATGTGGTTGACTTTGGAGAGAATGTTGAGGGGGAGAGGTTGCTATTTTATTTGTTCTGCTGGTTCTTGCACGAGTCCAGCTAGGTTTGTGATGTTGATGGGGAACAGTTTCCTTGAAGCCATAAACGAAGCCCATCCTCTTTTAGGAGAGAAGGAAGAGAGAGCAAAGTTAATATAATTATTATCTAACATCTCTAGGAACCAAAAGCTTTCACCAAGAATAACTAGTTACCATCAGTAATAATGTTTTACAATTTTTGTTCATAATTGTATCCAAGATAGGGTTTGAGTTTCTTTTAAAAGACCACTGAAGGCTTATATCTTATTTTGTTTTTAATTGTTCAAAACAAACACGTTAGCTCTGTAGAAGTTAAATATCACTTTGGAAGATGTACCAGAGGAATGGTTGGTTGTTGTTTTTAAATGGAATGTAAAGTTGAATTAGGTGGCTGGGCACAGTGGCTTACACCTGTAATCCCAGCACTTTGGGAGGCCACAGCCGGCTAATCACCTGAGGTAGGAATCCAAGACCAGCCTGGTAAACATGATGAAACCCCATTTGATCTTCTCTCTTTTTAATTTTTTTAATGTCCATAGCCATTTTTGGGTGTCGGCAGAGAAAAGGGGATGCTACTTGGTAACTAGTGTGTAGAGAACAGGGTTGCTGCTAAACATTCCACATGAAACCCTATCTTTACTAAAAAACTATACAAAATAAGCCAGGTGTGGTGGCGCATGCTTGTAATCCCAGCTACTTGGAAGGAGAATTCCAGCGGAGACAGGAGAATTGCTTGAACTCTGAAAGGAGGTTGTAGTGAGCTGATAATCACACCATTGCACTCAAGCCTGGGCAAGAAGAGTGAAACTTCATCTCAAAAAAAAAAAAAAAAAAAAGTGTAAATTAGGTAAATTAATTAGTTGGTAATCCAGAATTTGACCCTGGTTATTGAATTAATAAATACTTACTTGTACTTGGAAGTACTTCTTGAATATCTTATTCTGAATTTTGCGCTTTTATGAGAACCGTGCAGATATCAGGATGCACCAAGTATGTCCTGATTATACCGGTTGATAAATTCACCAGAAGTGGTGAAGGAGGCCAGGCACAGTGGCTCACACCTGTAATACCAGCACTTTGGGAGGCCAGGGTGGGTGGATCACTTGTGGTCAGGAGTTCAAGACCAGACTGGCCAACATGGCAAAACCCCATCTCTGCTAAAAATACAAAAGTTAGGTGGGCATGGTGACAGGCATCTGTACTCCCAGCTACTCGGGATGCTGAGGCATGAGAATCACTTGAACCCGGGAGGCAGAGGTTACAGTGAGCCAAGATGGTGACACTGCACTCTAGCCTGGGGGACAGAGAGAGACTTTGTCTCAAAAAAAAAAAAAGAGAGTGTTGAAGGAGTAAGAATACCAGCCATTTGTCTTCCTATTTGCATATAAAAGGGACAATGTTTAAATGTTAAACCTTTTTATCCAATGTTATATTTAAGTGCTTTTTTTTTTTTTTTGAGACGGAGTTTCGCTCTTGTTGCCCAGGCTGGAGTGCAATGGCGCGACCTCGGCTCACCGCAACCTCCACCTCCTGGGTTCAAGCAATTCTCCTGCCTCAACCTCCCGAGTAGCTGGGACTACAGGCGCATGCCACCACGCCCAGCTAATTTTTGTATTTTTAGTAGAAATGGGGTTTCACCATGTTGACCAGGATGGTCTCGATCTCGTGATCCGCCCACCTCGGCCTTCCAAAGTGCTGGGATTATAGGCGTGAGCCACTGCACCCGGCCTCTTTTTTTTTTTTTTTTCGAGATGGAGCCTCGCTCTGTGCCAGGCTGGACTGCAGTGGTGCATCCTCGGCTCACTGCAACCTGCAATTCCCTCGTTCAAGTGATTCTCCTGCCTCAGCCTCCTGAGTAGCTGGGATTACAGGCACACACCACCATGCCCAGCTAAGTTTTGTATTTTTAGTAGAGATGGGATTTCATCATGTTGGCCAGGATGTCTTGAGCTCTTGACCTCGTGATCTGCCTGTCTCGGCCTCTCAAAGTGCTGGGATTACAGGTGTGAGCCATCGTGCCTGGCTATTTAAGTACTTTTCAACATTAATGCCAAAATGATTTTATACCAGCTGTATAGATTTGCCTCTTAATGCACTGTAGCTATCATTTTGATTTCCTGCATATACTTAAACACAATTATACTTTGAAATTTAAATTAGTAATTTAAGTTCTTAAGCGTAGTTTCATGCTATATTACGTTTTTTGCAGTAGTGCTGTCACCCACTCAGATTATCCTTTTTTAGTAAGCTATAGAAGTTTAAATTATTAGGATAGTATTTCCATCTTTTCTGCCAGGAAATGTTTTCTTCATGAGTGTTACTTATTTTCTGATTAGTGGAATGCTTAAAACTGACCACAGGTGGGGTGGGAGTATTGCAAGGTGTCATCAGTAAGCACTAGACCAGGAGTAAAAAAGATGTGACTTCTAGTTGTAATTCTGCCACATAATAAATTACTGATTGGCCTTCAGCAAATAACAGAATCACTGGGCCTCTGATGTTTTTGTTTTGATTAATTGTGGTAAAATACCAAATTTATCGTAACCATTTGTAAGTGTACAGTTCACTGGCAATAAGTATATTCACACGCATCACCACTGTTTACCTCTAGAACTTTTTTCATCTTGCAGAACTGAAACTCTGTACCCATTAATAATTCTCCATTCTGCCTCACCCCAGCCATTGGAAACCACCATTCATCGTCTCTGATTTTGACTGCCTTAGGTACCTCACATAAGTGGAATTATATGGTATCTGTCCACTTAGGACTACTTTATTTTGCGTAACATTATCAAAGTTCATCCATATTGTAGCGTGTATCAGAATTTCCTTTCTTTTAAAGGCTGAATAATCTTTTTTCGTATGTATACACTACATTTTGTTCATTTGAAAGTGGGCCCTTGGGTTACTTCCACCTTTTGGCTGTCGTGAGTAATGCTGCTATCAATCAACATGGGTATACAAATATCTGTTTGAGACCCTGCTTTCAGATCTTGAGAATATATACCTAGAAGTAGAGTTGCTGGATCATTTGTCAATTCTGTGTTTAATTTTTTGTGGAATCATATTGTTTTCCATAGCAGCTGCACCATTTACCTTCCCAACAGCACACAAGGGTTCTAATTTCTCCATGTCCTCACCAACATTTGGTATTTCTGGTATCTCTAGGAAGCAAAGCTTTCACCAAGAGCAACTAAAGATTTTTTTTTTTTATAGTAGCTGTCCTAATAGGTGTGAGGTGGTATCTCATTTTGGTTTGAGTTGCATTTGCCCAGTGATTAGTAATGTTGAGTATCTTGTTAAGTGCTAATTGGCCATTTGTATTTTTATAGAAATGTCTATTCAAGTCCTTTGCCCATTTTAAAATCACATTGTGTTTTCTGTTGTTGAGTTGTAGGAGTTTTTTATTTCTATTTTTGAGACAGAGTTTCGCTCTTGTTGCTCAGGCTGGAGTACGATGGTGTGATCTTGACTCACTGCAACCTCTGCCTTGTGGGTTCAAGCGATTCTCCTGCCTCAGCCTTTCGAGTAGCTGGGATTACAGGCATGCGCCACCACACCTGGCTAATTTTGTATGTTTAGTAGAGACAGGGTTTCTCCATGTTGGTCAGGCTGGTCTCGAACTCCTAACCTCAGTCGATCTGCCTGCTTAGCCTCCCAAAGTGCTGGGATTACAGGTGTGAGCCATTGCACCCGGCTGGAGTTCTTTATATATTTGAGATATTAACCCCTTAAGGCATATACGATCTGTACATACTTTCTTTCATTCCATAAGTAGCCTTTTCACTCTGTTGATTGTTTCATTTGATGCACAGAAGTTTTTAACTCTCATGTGCAATTAATTTTATTTGCTTTTGGTGTCATATCTGAGAAACCATTGCCAAATCCAATCTGATAAAGCTTTTCCCTTGTGCTTTTTTCTAAGAATTTTATAGTTTTATCTCTTATGTTTAGGTTTTTGATCCATTTTGAGTTAATTTTTGTGTATGACATAAGATTAAGGGTCCAACTTCATTCTTTTGCATGTGGATATGCAGTTTTCTCAGCATCGTTTTTTGAAAAGACTGTCACCATTGAATTGTTTTGGCACCCTTGTTTAAATCGTTTGACTGTACACACAAGGTTTGTTTCTGGACACTTTCTTCTATTCAATTGGTCTATATATCTGTCTTTCTGCCAGTACAACACTATTTTGATTGCTGTAGCTTTGATTACTGTAACTTTGAGATAACTTTTTTTTTTTTAGATGGAGTCTCGCTCTGTCACCCAGGCTGGCTGGACACAGTCTTGGCTCACTGCAGCCTCCACCCGCTGAGTTCAAAGGATTCTCCTGCCTCATCCTCCTGAGTAGCTGGGACCACAGGGGTGCACCACCATGCCTGGCTGATTTTTTGTACTTTTTGTAGAGACAGGGTTTCCAGTTGGCCAATCTGGTCATGGACTCCTGACCTCAGGTGATCTGCCTGCCTCTGCCTCCCAAAGTGCTGGGATTACAGGCAGGAGTCACCACACCAGGCCACTTTGTGATAAGTTTTGACATCAGGAATAAGTCTTCTTTTTCAAAATTATTATTTATTTATTTTTTTATTCTTCATCCTATCATGGGATTTCAAAATTGTTTTCACCGTTCAAAATATTTAGCTCTTAGTGACACTAAGATTGATTAATCAAAGGATTCAGGTGGTAACAGCCTGATCCCTCCATTGCAGAGGTCCTACCCATCTAATCAACATTTTGCATAATGGTTTCATCCACTTGTGATGATTGCCTAAATCATTTAATTAGAAGTTACACAGTACTGATTCCTTCTACTTTTATTAGCTGGAATTCTTTTGAAGGGCAGGGAATCCTTTTCTTCATCAACAGTGGCCTATCTTGAAATTTAATTTCTTCCAGAAAGGCTGGCCACATGCGTAATTCTTTACCTTTAATTTTCAGTTGTTAGAGTAAGAAGGTGATACTCTTGTTGCTTGCAATGAAACTAATGAATGAAGAAGAATTAAGGATTCGGTTTGATTTCCCCCTTTTTGTAGGTGTTACTATAAACTCTTAGATTTTATATATAAAACCTGTTTTAGTTCATTGCAGATAGGGGCTAAGGAATCTGTATTTTTAACACACAAACCACATGATCTTGATGTAGGTGGTTGATCTGCAGAGCACACTCCTATAAAGTAGTGTTATGGATTCTAAAACAGTTACTGTTTTGTTGTGTATATCTTCCCTACCAGAGATGGTATACATTAACAAGCTAGTGTTGTATTATCAAAGGCAGATGTTATCAACATAATTTATCATTATTTTTAAATTTATTATTATATTTGAGACAGGGTCTCCCTTTGTCATCCAGGCTGGAGTGCAGTAGCACAGTCAGAGCTTACTGTAGCCTCAAACTTTCGGGCTCAAGCAGTCCTGTCACCTCAGCCTCCTGAGTAGCTGGGACTACAGGCATGTACCATGATGCCCAGCTAATTTTTACGTTTTTTTTATAGAAATGGAGGTGTAGCTATTTTGCCCAAGCTGGTTTCAAACTCCTGGGCTCAAGAGATCCTTCCACCTCAGCCTCCTGAGAGCCTGGAGACTACAGGCATGCACCAATGTGCTCTGCAACAATTTATATTTAAATTAGCAATATTAAAAGTTAACA